AGGTAATTATGCTATGAAAATCTTTTTAATGAGGAAATGTAACTGAGTTAGCTTCAAATCACGTTTCTAGCTATTATCCATTTAACTTTAAGAAAATGTGGGGCAACGTTCTTCAAGCTAGTCATCAAAATGCTTTATGTTCTTTGTTTTATCCATCTTAGGGAAAAAGATTAGGGCTGTAAACTGACTTGTAGGTCTCACTTAGCTCTCCTTTATGCAACTCATTTGGCTAAGAGTTTGGTAATCTGCAGTTTCTGTCTCTACTTGTTTTTTATTTTCTGTGGGCATTTTTATGTGAAAAGAGCTTGTGGCTATATGCCTCTTGGTTTGGTTGAAGAGATTTTGTATGAGATAAAAATTCAGAGCACAGTTGCTCTGTGAAACCTATTTCAGTGAGACACTTCAGAAAAGACTGAGGCTTGATTTTGCAGGATGTTATTGTCTTTGAACAACCCCAAACACCTGTGAACGTAGAACACCAGGAATAACATTGCTATGTATGCAGCAGTACGCCGCTCGTTATTGATAAAATATGTTGTCTCTTAATAGTAGTGCAGAAATCAAGGTGCCACCTTTGAAAGGTCAAACCTGCGTAGTCCTTTTGAAGTGACCGTGGGCACTGCATAATTAGGAGGATGATCAGGTGCAGCTCTATTGTTTTGGTCGCTTTGCACACAATACTGTGCAGTACGTAGGAATTCATTTTTTTTCCAAGTTCAAGCTTTAATTGATATTTTAAATGTTTGCACTTAAATGTGCATTATCTGGAAGTCTGAGGTGGCTGTGATTTAATCAGATGCACACTGCTGCAAGTTCTTCTTTTTCTTACTGCTTTAATTCCTGGACTTTACTTAGCTTAATTACTTAGAGTGAAAGATCTGGAAGACCCTTGTGCCTGCTGCTGCTGGAAGTTAGGACTGAGAAAGCAAAGAAAAAACACATTACTTTATTTTCCTCAGCGTTCATATCTTGTGAATTTGAAAGTATTTGGTGTTTTTGTCTGGTGATCCTCCTGTCGTCTCAGACGCAATAAAATAGTGAGTTTTGTCACAGCTAGTTGGATGCTACAGCAGCTAATTCAGCTTGATGTGTGCTTGTTCAATCTGCAGTGCTGTTGAGGGCATGAAATGCATGAGACAGCTTTGAGGTAGCTGAAGATGTGAACCAAAAGCAATAAAATACCCTAGCTGTATGCTTGTCTGTGTATAGCTGTCCAAAACATGTGCTAGTGCTCCCAGCCCTGAGCCTGATGCCTCCCTCAGTGGCAGTGGAGAGTGGGAAATGGGTTTGCAAAGAGGAAGGTGGTCAAGAAACTGCTATATCGTGTGATTCGACCTGCGCGTGGTTCCTTAACCTACTGCAAACCTGGAGCAGCGTCTCTCACAGACAGTGCCTTTGCAAGTTCTGGCAGGATTTGTAGGGGAGCCTGCCTGATAGGTCTAGAAATCGTCATAGTGGAGAAGGCCATAGGGCTGGAAACTGAGCCCAGTAATTGCTATGCAGAATCTTATTTCTGAAGGAATGGTGGTTTTGGTATGTGGCCTGCTTGCCTGGCTTATGGTTGTTTTTGGTTTAGGTTAGGTGCCATGCAGGAGTGTTAGGCAATGGTTTGTTGCAAGTTTTTCCCCCTTTCTTCCTTTGCAATGCCATTTTTTTGTCGAATATTTATCGATGTTTCTGGACGTAAAGAAAGTGACAGGAGGGAGACTGAAAGAGCTCAAGCTCTAGAAAATTTTACAGTATTGTTACAAAAGTTTTGATTATCACCACATAGTTATCTGATTCTTGAATTATTTCATAAGACTGCAAGGCTTTTTCTAAAACAGCAACAACAAAAAACCTTTTATGGTTAGCATAAAAGCTGTATCTGTGTAACAAAGGCATAATAAAAGAATTCATAGAAAAAGATTATTTTGCAGACTGTCTCGTGATTCACAAGTAGTAAGCGGATACTGAACAGAATTTCTGCTACATCTCTGGTGCTTTCTGTAGAAGTACTGTGGGTGTGAACCAAGGGACAAGCGCCCGAGGGGGTTTGTTTTGTGTTTTTGGCTAAGCTCACAGTTGACGGACTCATGACAGAGACCCCCAGTGGAAAAGTTTTATTTTTTCCACATTCCCCGGGGTGATGCGGTGGGGAAGAGGTGCATGCACATCAGAGTCCAGTTTATGTTCGCTGCTTGAGGCAGATGCTAAAATCTTATTAATAGTCCTTCTGATCCTTTCTCTCTTCCTGGGAAGATTATGCTTGAATGTTTCTTACGTAGTTGGGGTTCTTGCTAGCTGTTTATGTTAGTTAATAGTGCAGCAGAGTTTGTACTTTGGTCTGTTAGATAACGTGTAGTCACCACCTTGGAAAATTTTCCACTTGTACTTTGAAGATAGAAAGGGTAGTGGTATTTGAAAGCCGATCATGACAAGATCTGCAGTTACATTGATAACCATCTCTTGTAACTTTTGTTCTACTGGACTGAAAAATGAGAAAAGATGGTAAGCTAGAAAAAGAAAGCTGCACTGTCATCCCATGATGAAGGCAGGTGTCTGTTTTTAGCGCTTGAAAATAGTAGTGAACGGTTTGTTTGCACGCATCATAAACGTTTTAGGGTCCGAGGACTAGCCGTCCCCCTACTTGTCCTCAGCATGCAGCTGGTTGCAGAGGATCAACAGGAAGCATATTGCTGATACCAGGTCTGAAATGCAGCAGAGATGGATGCCATTCCCCCAAACTACTGTGAGAGGAGAAGGAGAAAGGACAGCGAGCAGCTGGCGCTGGAGGGAAATGAGCAGAAATCTAGCAAGCAGTAGACTGTGGGGAAGATGTGAATTGATAAACTTTGACAGGAGCTATTCAATGTGCTGGGTTGCTAAATGTATGCAATTTTTGGACCCTAGATATTCTCAGATTTGATGCGTGTGCTAGCCCTCGAGTTGACTACCAGTGTGTTGTGCAAAAACAGGTAAGTCTTTTATTTCCACCCAAGTTCTGAATAAGACATGAAGAATATTAGTTTCTCTTGCCTTTCCAGTGTCTTACAAGTGAAGACGGTGCAAAAGGTTGACTTTGTCTGAATTGGGAATGACTTGGAGGATGATAGGAGTCAAGCAGCCCTCTCTCATTACAGGTCATGGTTTGGACTATGTGGTGTGAAGAGAAAAGAAAGAACAAGACAGGAGAAGGCTGGGAGCAGAAGTTACAGCACTAGTACTGCTGGCTGCTTTCTCTTCTGGTACTTGAGTTTTTTCACAAAGTGCATTTTATTTTACTTAGTGGCTTAGTTTTCTTTGTTTTCAGAAAATCTGACAACACATCTGTGTTACACGTTGTTCCTGTTTAGAAACTTAATAGAATAGGAAGGTTGTATAATATAGGGAAGAAATAAGGTCATAGTTTATTCAAGCGTATCAAAGCTAATATTAGAAAACTAGTATTTGCATTTTGCCGGTGATTCCCACATTGTATTTGGGAGGCTTCTCTGTGGCTTAACCAAGCTATACAGAAACAGGAGTAGTTTTTACAGTAATGTCATATATGCTGTCAGTGGCACATGTGCAAATTTGAAACGCTGTTCTTTGCTGTGCTGGTACTGATAGATTTCCCATGAATTTAAAGTGTGGGAACCTGAGACACCATCCCTGTTGTCTACAGCTGACTAGTTATCCACAGGCCTCTAGAAGCCTGGGGAATCCCGTTTTTAGTTAAAATAACAGCCTGCTTCTGCCCTAGGGTATTGGTTGTCAGACATGTTGTGTAAGCAGTTTCTGCTTTCAGGGGGCACGGATCATGGGCAAGTTCCTGGGCAGTGGGATTCTTGCAGGTGGATCCTAAACCCGTTAGGCCTCCGTTCGTTTTCCTCTAGTCTTCCTTTTTTGGCTGTTGCCTAATGTAGGCTCTTAGGCTTTAACCATGAGAAGTCTCTGGACTAGTTCACACTTTATGCACAGCAGGCTGTTGTCAAGAAATTGCATGTGGGTCAGTAACTTAGTTCTCCTCAATGGCTATGAGGCAAAAGTAGTTGTGAAACGACTTAATTTTTCTCAGATCTATGTGGGTGGGCCACAATTGCTTTCTAGAAAGGTTCTGCTCTGCATGGCACAGGGGAATGACCACCCACCAGCCCTTTCCACTGCCTTATTCCTGATTTCTGTCCTGTATGTGAGTTCGCACAAGATCAGTGGGGACCATTTAGTGCGTTTTAGGAAGAAGTGTTAATGGGAGGGGGAAGGTAGTTATATGTCTTGCGTTTTGTGGCTTGCCCTGAAAATACGTAGATAATATCAGTGTAAGCTAATAGCACTACTTCGTTCTCAAGTGGGGGGTTTAATTTTTTTGGTTTCATTTTGCTGAGAGTTTAGTTTGCAAAGTAGAGCTAAACGAAGAACGTCTTGGCTCTGTGGAGTTCCCTTTCTATACGTCTGATGAAGGCTGCAAAGGGTAGGCCTATTGGACCTTTCGCCAGCTGTTCCGCAAGTTGAAATATGAACAGGAACACGAGAGCAGTGGTGTCACCGGGACCAGTTTTCCACAATTCACAAACCTATGTATGACATTGCACTCCTGAGTCAGCTTACAGACGAGAGTAAAAGCACCAAGGCAGCTCTGTATTCATTCCTCTTCTGTTGTTTTTAATTGCAATAGGTGTTTGATTTAATCCAGATTGAGTATACAGAAATTAAAGACTTTATAGCCACTAACAAATGTTTCTGTTTTTAACTTTGACTATGTAGGTGCACTTCTTCATGCTTACAATACCTGCTTTGTTAGAAGAAATGACATCTCTCTCTTTTTCTTTCTTTCTGGTGACCTGTTCAGTTTGAGGATGTCGGATTCAGTTAATCATTAGGTTATGTGATGTGATTATAGTATTGTAGTATTCAAACAGGATGAAAATGTGTGGTTAATCAGATATTTCTGCACAAAAAGTTCGTGGGTTAGTAAACCAACTATAAATTGGTTAGTTTCTCATTTGGTTAATAACATCATGTTGTGTTTGCTTTTTTAGGTCACATTTGGGTTGTCTTGTGGAACCTTCCTAGAAAACAGGAATAATAGTAAGAAAAATGTTTAATAAAAGTAACTTCACTGAACAGTCAGACTGAAACAGGAGCAGGTTCTCTGGAGTAAGTATTAAAGTTTGTTTGTTTATTCCTTGCAAAGTCAGTAGCCTAGTTACTAGATTTTTTTTTTTTTAATTTAACCATAAAATGAAATACAATGACGGCACGTTCATTTCAGTCAATCAGTTGGTAAAGGATGCTCTTTAGGAACCTTTACGAGGCATCTGCCACGTTGGTAGGAAATTTAGGGAGGCTCTAGGTTCTTCTCTGGGCACCTGTGTATTGCGGGTATGCTTTTGAGCCAGAAGTGGCCTAGTGTAGACGTAATTACATGTAACGCCAGATTTGCTGGTAAATGTTGAAGCCTTGCCTGTATCTTCCAGGGAATTTGAAACTATGGTAGTTTTTAGGCTATAACTTTTCACTTCTGAAATTCCAGTGGGGTGTTTGCTGCTATTGTAGTTATCAGTGTAATCAGGGTAATTATTGTGTCCTTT